TTGTAGTTACGCCCTGTAAATGGTAAATAAATCTATTCACCAATCAAAACCCCAGCTATAATCAATATAGACAATATTAATATGAATTTTAAACAATTCGGTTATAAGAATATGAGCTGGCTAATTTAATGTGGATAAAAACCAAAATACAGCGTGGTTCGTTTAAATTAAAATTTATTATTTGTCTCTTGATGAGTCTGCAGTACTGCTGCTAGTCTTGAAATTTCCTTGTATAAGGTAAATGTAAAGTTGCCCCCCTGCTTAAGCAATTTGGCACCAAGCCATGAAGAAGCATAGAGAAGCAGAGGTATAGCTCCACCATTCATGACGTTGGCACTAGATGGAGGTGAGTGGTCATTTTGAATCCCAGGATTTCTTTGACCTCGGGAGAAGAACCCGGGTCATCCAATGGATGGTAGGCTGGAGGATAACAGAAACACAGTGGAGTAGACAAACGTTTCCTTCCCCTAGTGGGAATTGAACCCCGGCCATACCGCCCATTTCCCAACCCTATACCGAATGAGCTATCCAGACGCCACTGTGTCCAAAGCTTATGTATGTAATTACATATTTATATACTATATACTATTTAATTATTATTAAAAACCACTATATTTAGATGTTGCTGCAAGTTATTGATAAATTGGTACTTAATTGAAGAGTAACAATCTTAGTTATTAAATTCGTAGTGTTAATTAATTTGCGACGTCAACAAGACAAACTGAGAGTCGCACTACTGGCCTGGTGAATCGCAACACAACGTGACATCCCTCTCAAATCCATAGAATAAAGCAGAGAATTCGCTTGAAATCGTCGAGGTAATTGTAACCAGAATCGAAAGGAGTAACTTAGAACCACCTGCTCACCTCATTCCGTGCTTCATAACCTAGAAGATGGAAGTTCTTCATTAAATAAGTTACAGGTAAATAATTATTCGTCGAAATATTATAAACAATCCTCAGTTAATATATTAACTGGGGGTAATGGCTCAGGAGTTTAAAGGCTCTCGACGTTTGTTATAGTAATGTGAAATATCTCTAAATTAAAACCATTTAAATGAAGTTTATTTCAGTAATAATTTACAAAATAAATACTACAAAGGCAGAACATGAAAAATAAGAGAACTCTGTCAGGCATTTGATGACTCTAAAAAAAAAACTTCTGAATTTTTGTGACCGTAAGTAGACGCGATGTGTAAAATCAGTTTAGCTCAATTCTGATAAATCTGTCAAAATGATAAGTGAACAGAAGTTGAGATGTATATAAACATTTTAATTTAACAAATTATGACTGAATTTGCATTGTTTTTCGCCAAAACTCCAGTAGGATTCAGCTGCATCTAGTAAAAGTAAGTAAGTAAGTAAGTAAATAAAGGTATCCCTGTAACAGGCCGTGGAGGCTCATAGGGTTGTGAGATGTTGAGATTCCTACATTTTCCAGACAATCGGTTCACAGATGGCGGTAAGGTTGTCAGTCCTACGCGCCGGCCGCCCTTTACCTCCAAGAATATTCCAAGGCTACTTCTGGTACTTTTTCTGTAAAAGGCTGAGTCGACCCCAGGACCATAGTGCGGCTGGAAGGATTAGGTCAATTAAAAAAATCCAATGACTTCATCGGGACTTGAACCCGCGACTTAGGGATTGTAGCATAGTGCCTCAACCAACTACACTACCGCGTGCTCCAGCTGCATCTGATAGTAAAGGTAAATTTGTGTCTGTCCTTAACTAACTAAGCACGACGTCATGAAGTTGTATGGGCGTGTGAATTTATAGATCCATATTTTCGTGACCTCGGCAGTAGTTGGAGGTGAGCTGTCAGTTTCAATACTCTTCCGCTTTACCCCGGGAGAAAACGCCACCGGTACCCACTGGATAGGGGGCTGGGTGAGCCCCAGAACCGGTCTGGACAACGTGCAGAAAAGAAAATGTTTCACCTTACCAGGACTCGAACTCCGACTCTTCTTGTCTTCCAGCCCGTATGCAGTCTCTGTACCGACTGAGACATCCCGGCATTGTAACCGTTCATTCTGATTGGAGGACTGTTGTGCATTAATTAAATCTGTATTAAGTTAAGATTACAAAATTACAAACAAAGAGATCCGGCAGATAGCCAGCTCTTACACGCGGAAGGGACATAGTTCAAGTTTTGCTATGTGGACAGGAAGTAACATCTGGTAATTTCCTGGAATTCTGGCAGTTTCAGCAAAGTCGGAAAGTCTTTGGGAATTTGAGAGCTGACAGCTTGGGACAGCTATAACTTAGAAGTGGTACGGCCGGAGCCTCATACCCTGATCGTAATGCATCAAGGGGCTGTCAACCTTAGCGTCAGGTCAGCATCTGCCAGAATCACATAGCAAAGCAACATGATTGGGAATTCAAAATTCAGGGAACCTCATAGTTTGAAAACTTAACCAATGGTAGAAGTGGAGGAGTGGATTTCTCTTGGAGTCTGGGGTTCGTGGACCTCAGGATTCAGAGAGAGTGCATTCCACCTCGAGGAGTCTTGATACAACTTTCGGCCAAGTCGGACACAAAATTTACATCTACGGCCCTTCCGTAAAGTAGTATAAGTAAAGTTCAAATTAAGTGTATTAATAAATTCAGTTGTATTCAGTAAGCTGGAGGGGATTAAAGGACTACTAAGTGCAACGGTCTAAAGAGGTGTGTGTGATTGAAGCAGAAAGGTCTTCCTGTCCTGCCCGAGCCAGACCCGTATAAGACCCGGGATAGGATCTCAGCTCTACAAATTACTGAACATAACCCAGATACTCCCGTCTTTACCTGCTCTCGCGTACCAGCTCCAACAATCACAATTCTCCTCACTCCCCACCTAACTTCTCGAGATCCACGAGAAGAGGGAGTACGGTGATAAGTGGAGCACAAACGTAGGATAAAGGGAGGATGGAAACAGAGTGGCGACCAACGTAAAGGACCCAAAAGAAGTGAGCGGTTACAGCATCTAATAATATCAAAATGTATGTTCACAATATTTTGGGGATACTGCGCTTTTTATCCAGACTTCTCAGTACATGACATTCTTTCGCTCGGAATAATAACACTGAAGAAGGCTGCTCTAAACTTGTTAGAAAGCTAATAGCGAAACTTTACAGGCACACACGCCACTGAGGTTGGATGCGCTTTATTAGCGTGGTACCAGGAACGAAAAAATAAGTACAACATACGTAAAAGAGGAGTCCTTACTCACTACGATAGCAATATATTCTCCACGAATTCTTATCGTAGTAATCATTTTCTCCCCTTTCGCTCTCAATAACACATGTTTCTGGGGGGGGGGGATATTAGAGGCCCGTCTTTATCCATGGCTATATGCGCCTATATATTAATCGGGAAAGAAACTCATATATAATTAATTAGCCTCAATGCTTGGCGGATACATACAACCAGGTATCCAAGAAAATACGACAGAATTCCATAGCTTTCGGAGGTAATGCGAGTATTACAAGATCTCCAGAACATCGCGATGGTGTGGCGTGTGCACTTGGAGACTGCAGGACCCTTACGAAGTCGCTGAAGAAGGGGTGACCTTGCAGAGATTGCCCAGGAATGAATAAAACACTACGGTAGATAGAAAATCCAGTTAATTCTTGTAAAAGCTATCCGTAAATATAAGTGCATGAGCTAGTCTGGCTACGCAGGAGTGAGTTCAAGAAAGAGACGGCCATAGGGAAGGGCAGATCTACCTCCTCTCTTGTGTCCGACGAGCATTGAGAGTACAGAGTGGGTTACGAAAGAGAGTAGTGGGAATAACACGCGGCAATATGTTAAGATGCTCGAGAGAGTCTCATAGCATACACCCACAACACGAGGGGCCCAGATGTTGTGCTGTGTGGAACGAAAGACTGCAACACATGATGAGCGATGGAGCTGTGTTGACAGCGTTACCGCATAACTGCAGGAAAGGATATTCCTCCGCAGGGAGAGTGAAGCTTCTCCAGTTTCTGCATGTATAGTCTCCAGAAGGCCAGTGTTGAAGGCACCAGTGGAAAGATGTATCACAGTGATGCGGACAGAGACTAGGATGGACGTTAATAATTCTTTGTAAGTCGCAGACGAAGCTGACATATTTAATGTTAGAACTGATCAGGTCCGGGCTCCACCCCAAGACATAGCAGATACAAATTTTTAAATGCGAAATGACCGTTCCTTCTCAAAGCAGAGCCGCCAAGACAGCTTGTTCTCAAGAAGACCCGGACTTGACAGCTGGAGCAAATGGTAAAGCGGTGTTGTTGTTGAACAGATTGAGATAAACATTTTCTCTACTGTGAACTGTACAAACTGCGCCTTTGCTACGGGGAAAATAAATCCGTTCAGACTCCAGTGTGGCAGACTATTAATGGCCAACTCTAAACACCTTTCTGTTGTTTGTTATCGTGGTCTGGGAACTGTAAGAGATTACAAACATCATCAACAACAGAGATGTTGAGACTGACAGACTAATTACGCAGACAACCCCATTGATAACAGTAGTGAAAAGTAATTACCATCTACCTATATCTTGTTTGTGTTTCGGTCTTATAGGACCTTCCTGAGGGTCTCCTGATTCCGAAATATATTGAGATATTAGCAACACGAGAAATATACCGGATATACATACATGATGATTTACAATGTAAAGTTGACCCTATGCTTAATCAATTAAGCACTATGACATGAAGACATATGAAGGAGTGGAGATATAGCTGTACCGTTCTTGACATTGGCATTAGCTGGAGGTGAGTGGTCAGTTTCACAGCCCTGCCGCTTTAACCCCTGGGAAGCAGCCCCCGTTACCTCTTGGGTAGGAGGTTGGGTGGACCCCAGAGCAGGTCTTGGCGCTGTGGACGAGAGAAAAATATTGACTGCTAGGAATCGAACCCAGACCGTAGCCCGTCGCTATACCGACTGAGCAGTCGACTCCCATTTGGCTCTAGTATAGATTGTACTGAAGTCTATCAAAATATCAGTTTCTTGTCTCAGAATCGGGGTTTCGCATTGTTTCAGGTTCAGACGCGGGTTCAAACAGGTTTTCTCGTGCTGTCCTTGTGTGCATCTGGCGCCAGAGACGCTCTCGCGTCGTGAAGTCGTCACCAGCCGCTACAGCTGTTCTGGGTCCCCGGAAGCTCAATGCCGCATCATCAGGAATGGTAAGAGATTGCTTGAGCTGACTTGTTCGTCCTTCCGTCACTCTGCGAGAGGAGTGGCTAACCTTTCCTGGCCCACCCCTTATACATTCATTCATATTCAACTATATTCACGTATATCGCAGAATTGTTTACACTTACGTGAGCAAGTATACAAACAGACGAACAAATAAAAAACAATTAAATTCAAACAACGTGTAGAGTGTAGTAAAATCTTAACGAAACTCAAAATTAAATTTGTCTCTATATGTAAGACCCTCACCTTTGAGACATAGAGGGGACGTGGAGGCAAATATCCATTATAAATCCCAGGATCCGATAAAGGTGATTTATCAGCTTCACGCTACGGTTGCTCTACTCCCAGCACAAAGAAAACATGTCACCCGTTGAATACGAGCCTGAGTCTGTCCTGCAGTGTCTTTCAAGCGATAAATTTCTGCTCCTGATACCAGAAGGTCTATTGTTCCAAAAAGAAAACAATAAAATAAATACCAATATGACAAAAAGTCCAGGATATCTATATATAATTAAGCAGGGCGGTATATATCGTAATGTTTTTACTTTCTGTTTATCGTCATGTCGCCTCTATGGAAATCAGATTCAGAACTGATCTCACTTACGATAAAACCGGAAGAGGACGACGACGAATAACAATGTTTCAATTAATATGTTGCTGGACATTATCCATCATCTTGTCTGTTCTTAAAAAACCGTCTAGTTTATATTAAAAACACAACGTTTCGGGAACTGGAATCTATCCCCTTCTTCAGGTAAAACCTACTCAGTTGGGTCCAATAGACAGAGCTAGCCCCTATCTCCGGACCGGAGATAAAGACTGAAGTATGTAAATGTAGATGAATGTAAGTATTGTCTGTGGAAGGCGTAGCTATAGATGGGTGCTTTCAGACTTGTCCTTAAATCTTGGAAGGACATTCCACTAGTCATTTTAAATTCAATCGGAACATGTGTAAACGAAATTTGGTACATGTTGGACATATGGGAACGAGAGAAATTAATGGCTGAAATACGTTGTATGACAATAAAGTTCGCGAACTTATCGTGGTATAGAAGTGCTATATACCTCATTGCTGAATATCGCTGTTGTCGCCTTCAAAGTACTCCCCTTTGGAAGCTATGCATTGACGCCAGCGCCTAGTTCACCCTTCAAAACAATTTTGCAACCGGTTTTGTTGAATGGCCTTCAAAGCTGCCATCGTATTACTCCTGATGTCATCAAAATGCCCCCCTTCCAATATTTCCTCCATCTTCGAGAACAGAGAAAAGTCACTGGGAGGCTAGATCTGTGAATAGCGAGGGTGTTCCAGCACAGTTATTTGTTTACCAGCTAAGAACTCCCTCACAAAGTGCCGTGTGAGCAGGTGCATTGTCGTGATGCAAGATCCATGAGTTGTTGGCAACGGCACAACAGAACCCACTCAGAAAATATTAGACGCCACTCAGAAAGAGACTGCAATAGATCAACAACACACAGCTGTGAAACGCTGATATGCCAACGTCATCAAATCATACTGAGATTTCTGTCCACTGCTGCCACGGCAAACACACGGGGGCACGTTCGTGAACTTTATTGTCAGATCTCGTATTGCATGGCAATTTTTAATTCAGTAGTGTAGCTAATTGATATCGTGAAAAAAATCAAACACGCTCTGTTATTTAAAGCGTGAAATAAAGTGGATTGGAAACAAAACAGATCTAATAGCGGCTTAGAAAGTCTTGGTTATTTATAGTTTCATTCGCAGCTTATTTAAGCGTGGTTTGTGAAAGATTTAGTATACTTATCTGCGTTATTTCTTATGTAATTATGTGCAAGACTGTGTAATTAAAGGAATGAATAACATGGGAAGGGAGGGTATCTCGGGAAATTCATCTCCGACGAAACGTGTTCGCTACAGAAACACATACATTCAACCGGGTTTCGAATTTGAAGTTGATCGAAAGGGAACTTGTCTCACTAGCTACAAGACCATACAATCCTGACGACAGCAGGTTATGGAACGTGTTTCATATTTTCATGATAATAAAAAAATAATTACCCTATTTCCTTTACGGTTATTAACACAGTTCCACTTCACCTTCGGTTAGGTTTTATATAGCATCAGGTATTCGAAACTGGCAGCATTTAATAATATAAAAGTTTACAACTGTTCATTTCGTTATTTAATCGTCACAGAACTTCCACATTGACATCAATGTGAAATAAATATCTCCAGAATGTGAAATGAGTAGATCTAATAACAGGAAATATTACTAGTTCATTGCCTAGATATGCTACTTTTATTGCAGTTAATCACATCAGCATCATTATCATTATCAAGCTCATACCGAACAAGGTGACTGAAGACGTGTCCATGAGGGTACCGCTTTGAATGCCAGCTGATATGTCCGCTACTCCGAGTGAGACTTTTCATAGTTTTCCTCAGTCCTTCAAGGCAAATACCAGAATTTTACCTCAGTTAATCTACCAACTATTCGTTCCAAATTCTTTCCGGTTCATTTTTCTGCAGTCATCCTAATAATCGAAGCTATGTATTATGAGATACCGACAGCGTCCTAAACTAAATCACCAAGAAAATTATCACCAATATCATCATCTTATTACATGTCGGCTTCTTAGAAACATATATGCCTAACTGCATCAAGAGCTAATATTTATAAGACAGAAACTGTCGAGTGACGTATAATGCAGATTTGGCAGGGAGCACTTTCTGCAGATATTGTACCAAGGCATAGGATATTATATATTATAAATATTATAATTACGTAACTACGTAGTATGTCTCCTCTCTTGAATATATGCACAGGTTATATAAGCTTGAATATGCGTCCGTAGTCTGGAATTCAATTACGTCAACTGATGCCAACAGATCAGATCACAGATATTGCACTTTAATAACAAATAATTTTATTTAATTTAATTATCATTGATTCTAGACGATTTTGGTACACTGCTAAATAAGTGAATGTGAACATTAGAGAAGCTAAAGTAACAGCCTCTACACTCTGTACAGACCCCGTTATAGATGCCAAACTCTATTTCCATTGTTATGTCACTGCATATCTTCTTAATGTATTCAGGAGCTGAGTGTAGTTGCCAACTTAAGCCTCTCTCTCTCTCATCCTTCAAAATTATGTATGTATATGTTATGCTTTCTCTAGTTAGATCTGAGCTTGAATATGCTTCTGTTATTCGGAATCCAGTTACGTGTACTGATGCCGAGAACCTGGAATGCATCCAGTAGAAGTTTTGCAACCCTTTGTATTAATTGTCTCTCTCCCATGTCAATCGTCGTTATGCTTTTACATTTTTTTTCCTTGACACTACAGCCCCAGTGGGCCTAGGCCTACCTCCATGAACTTCTCCGTTCACTTCGGTTTTTCTGGATCTTACACATTCGGTAGGACTCCTTGGGCGGGTGATCAGCTCGTCGCAAGGCCTCTACCTGTACACAGACACAGAAAAACGCACACACACAAACTAAACATCCACGGCCTGAGTGGGAAAGCTTGTGCTTTATATCATTTAAAATGGGAAGACGGCTGCTAACCGTCTGAGTTACAGTACGACCTTTAATGGGACGTCTATTTCGATATATTGCAATGGAGGCCATTACTGCTTGTTGTGTAGCGTACGTTCATTGCGATTGGACTCTAGAGAGTTTACTATGCATGAAAACTCAAGACTCGTTGAAGAGAAACTTTAAATTAGAAGGAAGTTTGATACTGTTTTCCATGAATACTATTATTATTATCATATATTTTGAAAAGCATTATTTCAGTCCCTATTGTATGAAAACCGAAGCATAAATTCGGAACTTAACATTATGATTTAAATTTAAAATTATTTCGCTTAGTGGAAGTGTAAGACCATCTTTCTTCTCCACTTCTTCAAGTTACTGTTCTTGTGAACTTAAGTAGGCAATGAATTTCCCAGAAAATATTTTGAGCCATGAGACATACAAAGCTCAACAATTTTTGCCCTGTCAATTTACTTTACTTCAGTTGACATTACCATAGATTGGTTTAATTTAATTTAGTTTAGTTCAGTTTGGTCTGGATTCTAAAGAGTTCTGACGGTGGTGTATAATACTCAGAATTATTGCTTTGTTTTTAATTTTGTACATCGTACAAAATTATTGTACCGGTATTCTAGAAACTAGAAAAATGCAACGTTTCGGAAACTGGATCTGTTTCCGTCCTGAGGGAGGACAAAGCCAAAAACCCAGTAATTCTGAGTAGTTTTCAGGGCCGCGCCATATCTCAAGCGGTTAGTCGCTGGCTTCCCACCGTAGTGGCCCGGGTTCGATCCCGGGTCTGGTCAGGTGGGATTTGTGGTGGACAAAGTGACGCTGGGGCAGATTTTCTCCGTGTACTTTGGTTTCCCCTGCCAATCTTCATTCCACGAATTGCTCCACAATCACCCTCACCTATCATCTGGGGCTGGTACAATAGACCAGAAGTGGCCGCAGTACAAGGGACTTAGTCGCACCCCACTAGCAGTTAAAAAATTCTGAGTAGTTTTGTCGAGTTTATTACGCTTCATGTGTAATGAGACAGGACCCTCCAGGTTTGTTTTTGAGTTCCGTTCCTCTTATGTTATCATTTCCACATTACAATAAATCCTCTTTCAAAATATTTATTGTGCTTCTTTACTTGATTGACAGAACATTCATAATTACCAAATCACGCTCTATTGTGTTGCCTTATCTCTCCCATTCACCTATGGTCCAGTTACGAAGGAATTATTGTACAGTATTCCCATTGAATTGCCGGTCACGGTAGCCGAGTGGTCTAAGGCATGCACTGTCTTCGCTCGCTTGGAAACCTGAATTGTGGGTTCGAATCCCACTCAGGGCATGGATGTTTAGTTTGTGTGTGTGCTTTTTTCTGTGTTTGTGTACAGGTAGAGGCCTTGCGACGAGCTGATCACCCGCCCAAGGAGTCCCACAGAATGTGTAAGATGTAGTAAAACCGAAATAAAGTTC